TTTCACCTCCCAGGAACACATCTCCTGGCTGGGCCTGCTGAGTCACTGTCTCTCCTGGGAACTGGGACTGGCTGTTCCCAAGGCCGCTGGGCTGACTCACAGGGCTGGGCTGCTTTCACCTTCAGGTCTCCCTGGCTGGGGAAGAAGGGCTGGTAGAGACCCTGGGGCAATCTGCTTCCTGGGGTGGCGCTGCCTGTGTTCTCCCTGCAGCTGCTGCAAAGCGCCGTGTGGATGCAGGGGCCACTCGCAGACACAGAGCTCCTGAGATCAGCCCATGGCTGGTGTGAATCGGCCATTTCCACCAGGAGCTGAGGTGCCAGCCCACCGCAAAGGGCTGTCCCAGCATGCACTGGGCTCCGCATGGATTCTCAGGGTGTGGGATGGGTCATGTCACTTTGCTTGGAAGCCTCAGTCAGGAATTGGGAGGGACACCGCCCTCGCCTACCCCCCAATGGGGCACCCCCTTGCACATGGATAGGAGCCCCCCTTGGCCTGCAAGCTGCAGTGTTGATGATCCAGCCTCCTTTGGCAGGTGGGTGTTGTCCTATAAAAGATGTCATTAAGGGTCCCATGGCACTGGGAGGGAGGAACCCAGGTGTCCTGGCCCCATTCTGGGAGGGGAGAATCAGACGGTGGTTTCAGTTGTTCAGGGGACTATTTTTCTCTCCCCGACCTGAACTCCTGTGCTGCATCGGTGAAACAATCTGCCAGGTTCCAGCCCAGAAGTGGTTGCATCTCAGTGCTGGGCCAGGGGATCAACCCTTGGACAAATGAATGGGCTATGGAAATATCCATCCTCACCAGCCATTCGCTGAGGGCAGGCACCAGCCCCAGGGCATAAAATAAACCGCAGCCATCTCTCAGAGAGAGAGAGACGGGGAGGGGGGCATTGATGGAGAGGGACGGATCACTGAGGCATCCACCCATCCACTGGATCTATCTGTCCTTCCATCCCCAATATCTACCAACAGGGACCCAGCCATTGGGCAAAGCCCTAGAGAGGAGTGGACCGAACAATAACTGTGTCGGGCAGCACGGACACTGGGTCGGGGAGTCAAACCTCACTTAGCAGCCTGCAGTGCCGCCCGCGATTCAGGAACAGGGCTTGGGCCTGAGGGGCGTGAGCCGAACTGTGCGCGGGGGCAGCGTAGGGCTGTGCTAGCAGGACCGAGCGGCGCCAGCCGTGCACACGCTCACCTTTGTCCAGCTTGTTGTGCTCCTCCAGGAAACTGAACCAGTCTTTGCTCGTGGTGATCGCCTCGTGCTTCTCACTAGGGATGTCCTCCTTGCAGGCCGACTTCAGCTGGTCCAGGTCCTCGTTGGTGATGTTCTCCGCCAGCTCCTTCAGCAGGCTGCAGTACTCCGCCATTGCTGCAGGGGGAGCAGACGGACAGCAGCCCGGTTAGACCCAGCCCCGGCAGGCCAGTTACCGCCCCGAGCCGGGAGCCGCCTCCCCTTGCCAATGGCACCCGGGTGCAGCCCTGGGCAATGAATTTGGGGCGGTCTAGGCCCAGGTCCCACATGTCCACATCAGAAATGCCGTTAGCCCCGACCCCAGATACGTTAACACTGTCACTGGGATCTACCTCCTGGAAGTGCCCAGGGGCTGACACCAGGGCCCCACTGTGCCAGGCGCTGTACCGATACAGTCCCTGCCCCAGACAATCTGGACAGAGAAGACAGGCATAGGGACTTCCCTAGGTCACCCCAGGACGCCCAGCCCAGTGCCTCCCTCCCTCTCAACACCACGGCACTTCTCCGGTGCACAGGGGACCAAGGACCCACTGGGCCACAGAGACTGAGCCCCCCACTCTGCCCTGGACAGGCCTGCTGGTGGGGGAATTCTCTGGGGACTTGGCCCAGGATCGGGCCCATGGACTGTCAGGCTCCTGTCCTCCCCCTCCAGTCCCGCCTCACTGGTGGTTGGTGGCTGCGAAGACCTTTAAAAGTTAAACCCTTGCCGGAGAGATTCAGCGGCTCTGTGCCAGGAGCCGGGAGCACCAGGGCAGGGAGCGTCCGGGCTGCAATGATGAGGGAGGGCAGGGTTAGCAGCCCTCACCCGCTGACCTGGCCTCCCCCTCGAAACCTGCCATGGGGATTGAGACCCCCCCACACACACCCCGCATGGTGCTTTGAGACCAGTGGGGGTGGGGCGGGGTTGTGGGTAAGGCAACAAACAGGGAGCCCAGTTTGCGCAGTCACTTCGCTCCAGCTTTTCAGACGCAGCCTCTGACTCTGCGTGCCCCCGCACCGCTGAGCGCGCGACACGATCCCCTGCTACAGATGGGGAAACTGAGGCTCTGAGGGGGTCGGGATTTCCCCCCCGACACGCCTTAGAATAATGGCAGAGCTGGAAACTGGCCCCTGGCGTCCTTACCCCTAAGCCCATCCCCTGGGTGATGCCAGCCCCCCTTGCAGACTGTGCTAAGCATAGACAGCGCTAGCCAGGTCCCTGCACTGGCCATCTACGGGGCTTCCTCCGAGCCTGGGAGAACCCCAAGGCCTGACCGTGCCCAACGGCCCCCACACAGAATCCCCCCAGGTTCAATTCCACCTCCGCGAGCAGGGGGCGCGTGAAGGAGGCTGCTCCAGGTACAGGCGCAGGCCTCGAGCGAGCAGGAGGAGGGGGGCGGGGGGGCAGAACGGCACTGCCAAGGGGGCAGGGGAACAGGGCTGGGAGGCAAGGTGTGCTTCACCACCAAAGCCCTTCTGTACTAATATCGCCCTGAGGTCACTCCGTGGGCCCCACGCTCCCCCCCGCCATGGCCGACCCTCGCTCCTACAACAGCCTGCTACTGCCGTACAGACGGAGGAGCAACTACAATGGCTCTGGGGACTCGGTTTCCGCTTGAGGACCTGGTGTACTAGACCTGCAATACCTGGGGCTTTGTGCTATGAAGGGACCCGCTCTCCAACAAGGGAACAGACTGGATCCGGTCGTGGTGCAGTCTCTGAGAGGCTGCAGTAAACATTGGATTGGTTGAACCCCTTGGGTTTTGCCTCTGTGTCCAACACCAACCGGGGGATGCTAGGAGCCTGGGGACACCCCTCGGAGGAGAGACTGAAGAGATCTGGACTGTTCCCCTTAGAGAGGGGATGTGATAAAATCCTGAATGGGATCGAGAAGGGAGATCCAGGGCTGTTCTCCCTGTTTCAACGAGAGACAGTCACTGACATGGGAAAGGGTGAAATTCACAAGTGATCGGCGGAAATGCTTTTTCACAGAACGGGTGATTAGCCTGTTCCTATGGGATGTGCTGAAAGGTGAAAGATCAGGCTGGAGGGAGGTTATTTTGCTGATGATTCAAAGAGGGGAGGCATCACCCATACAGAGGAGAGCCGGAACATTATACAAGAATTGTGAGATGACCTTGGAGACAAGAGTGACAGAAATGGGGTGAAATTCAATTGTACCAAGTGCGAAGTCATGCACTTAGGGGCTCATGATAATAATTTCTGCTACGAGCTAGCGGCATATCAGTTGGAAGCGACAGAGGAGGAGAGAGAATTAAGGTTAGAATTTAGAGAATGAAAGGAGGGTAATGTAATTAATGCCAATCAGCATGGGTTTATGAAATATAGATCCTGTCAGACTAACGTGATGCCGGGTTTTTGATGAGATTACATGTTTTGTTGATAAAGGTAAACAGTGTTGTTTTAATATACGGAGACTTCTGCAAGGCGTTTGACGTGATCCCGCATGACATTTTGATTAAAAAAACGAGACTGATCTAGAATTAACACTGCAGACAGTAAATGGATTAAAAGCTGGCTAAGTGATTAGTCTCAAAATGTAACTATAAATGGAGAATCATCATTAAGTGGGTGTGTTTTCATGGGGGTCCTGCAGGGATCAGTTCTTGGCCCTACCCTATTTAACATTTGTATCAATGCCCTGGACGAAAACATCAAACCCTCACTGATAAAGTTTGCAGATGACACAAAAAGTGAAGTGGTAAATAGTGAAGAGGACAGGTCACTGTCACAGCGCAATCTGGATCGCTTGATAAACTGGGTGCAAGCAAACAATATGCATTTTAATACGGCTAACGGTAAATGTGTACATCTAGGAAGAGTGTAGCCGTACTTACAGGATGGGGGGACACTACCCTGGGAAGCAGTGACTGAAAAAGATTTGGGGGCTGTGGTGGATAATCAGCAGAACATAAACAGCTCCCACTGTGATGTTGTGGCCAAAAGAGCTAATGTGATCATTGGAGGCATAAACAGGAATCTCGAGTAGGAGCAGAGAGGTTATTTTATCTCTGTATCTGGCACTAGTGTGACTGTTGCTGGGATCCTGTATCCAATTCTCGTGCCCACAGTTCACGAAGGATGTTGACAAACTGGAGAGGGCTCAGAGAAGAGCCACAAGAACAATTAAAGGATTAGAAAATCTGCCTGATAGTGACAGACTCAAGGAGCTCGATTTATTTCGCTTAACAAAGAGGTTATGTGGTGATTTGATTACAGCCTATAAGTACCTACACTGAGAACATATATTTAATAGCGGGCTTTTCAATCTAGCAGAGAAAGGTCTAACACGATCCAATGGCTAGAAAATGAAGTGGGACAAATTCAGACTGGAAATAAGGCGCGCATTTTTAACAGTGGGGATAAATAACTAGTGGAACAACATAGCCAGGGTGGATGCATTTTCAGGAGAGAGAGAGAGAGAAGTATTAGGGCCATTGTACAAGGCACTGGGGAAACCTCCTTTGGAATACTGTGTCCAGTTCTGGCCACCCATGTTCAAGAAAGATGAATTTGACCTGGACAGGTGCAGAGCAGAGCTGCTAGGAGGGACAGGGGACAGGGAAATGGAGACCTGTCTTAGGAGAGGAGACTGGAAGAGTTGGGCTTTCTTAGCAAAAAGAAAGCTGACAGGGGCTATGATCGCTCTCTCTAAATACATCGGGGGGGGGGGGGGTTAATACCAGGGCAGGGAAGAGCTTTTAGGCTAAAGAACAATGTTGCCATAAGAACAAATGAATATAAACTAAAGAACAAATTCAGGCTGGTAATTAGAAGAAGGTTTCTAACCCTCAGAAGGGGGAGGTTCTGGAACAGCCTCTCCTAGGAGTTGGGGGCTGGGAGCAAACAATTCACGTTAAGAGAGAGCTGGATAAATTTACGAGTGCGATCGTACGATGGGGTTGCTTGTGATGGTGGGGGGCAGGGCTCAGCCGCCACGGGCCTCACTTCTGGTTCATGTCTTCTGTCCCTAAAAGGGCATGCTTCAGGGTTTCAGACGGCTGCCTGCAAGGGTCAGGAAGGGATTCTCCCATCCCCACTGCCCCTGCAATGTATTCTCTGTTTGTGTTTTATATCTCCTTCCTCTGAAGCATCAAGGATGGCCACAGCTGGGAACAGGACACTGGACGGGGAGGGCCAGGGCTCTGGGATGGCATCTGGCATTCTCTCCCAGACTGGCTGGTTCTTGCTCACCTGCTCAGGGTCTCACTGAGTCAGGAAGGAACTTTCCCTCTGACATTGCAGAGGGGTTTAACTTTGGCTGTTGGGTTTAATGTGCGGGTGTTGGTGGGGTTGGCGGCCTGTGCCATGGAGGAGGTCGGTCTAGATAATCTGGTGGTCTCTTCTGACCTTGAACTCTATGGTGTCAGTAGTGGCATCCATTCAGAAACCAGAGACTTTGTGGCTAACCCCTGTCTCTGTGCGGGACTGATATAAAATGCCCCGCAGCCAGAGCTCTAAAGGCAAGGAATGGTCTCTCAGGTGGGGGTGAGATGTCCCCTTGGGCACAGGGTGTTGGTGGGCAGACACTGGGCAGTATTTTCCAGATATTGCCCTTGGTAGCAGGCACAATTCTGGGCAGGTGTGTAATGAAAAGGAAAACAAGATCCCTAGAGATTTCCAAGCCAGCAGCTGGACCCTCCGTAGCTCTGTCACCTCCACTTCAGCAATTCCAGCAGGCGCCGACCGGTCTTTCTTATGCACAAGATTAAAGGGCAGGTTTGACAGGTCTGCCACCTGCCCACGCAGCTCACTCTGAGCACCACGGCCCTTTGGGTGCAGACTCCGGCAAAGCTTTGAGAGCACCGGGCTGTCAGGCAGCAGCACGTAAGCAGTCTATAGCAGGCCTATGTGATAAGCATGTGTATGAGTGGAGATGTCTAGGGCTGTGGTTGTCTCTCTATAGGTGTTTGCCTATGGGTACAAGTGCGTGCACCTGTGGATGGCTGCCTGGCAGCTGAGCGTGCCTGGGGGGCATAGGAAGATCAGTTTGCTCCAAATCCGATAACAGCCACTCTGGGAACTTTCTATCCTAAAGCAGGAAGTTCAGGGCTACAGGATTCCCTATGGTTCTGAACCTATTCCATTGATTTTACCTTGGTCCCAACAAACTCCCCTAATAACCCCCACCTGCACTCTGCATTGCTTCCAGGTTGGCACAGACCCCTGAGGGGTCTGTTAGTCCCAGCCCGAGGCACAGATTAGAGATCAGAGTTCAAATCCCAGGGCTTGCTCTGGGATCCGCACAGATATGTGGGACCTGGAGCCCAAACAATCCCTACACATAAAGATTCTGCATGCACAATTTTCACCAGTGGCACTGGCCAGCCTGGCTTTCCTGACACACGCAGCCAGAGCCCAGGGTTTTACTGCTGCTGAGTTTTGTCCCAGGAGGCAGAAATCTGCCAATTTCCTGGGGAAAATGTCACTGGTTTTGTCATCCAGATGAGACTGCCCAGCAGGAGCTGGGGGAGGGGCAGAGCGGGGTGAGCATGAGTGTGTGGGCGAGTGAGTGAGTATGTGAGTGAATGAGTGTGTATGTGCTTGAGTGTGTGTGTGTGCATGTGAGTGTGCGTGCATGCGTATGTAAGTGTGTGTGCACGCATGTGTATGTGTGTGTGCATGCATGTACACACACACTGAGGAGGGGTTTGTTCATTTTCAAGAATGGAGGGAACGGTTGGAATGAACTGCCCCTCCCCCGCATTCTTGCGCTCTCTCTCTCTCATTATACTGCTACCCTGTTATTTCTGCTCCGATCCAGCCGCTAATGACCCATGGATTTGGGGAATGGCCGGATTTTCAGACAGTTTTTGGCAGATTAAGGCGAGGCACCAAACCAGTGACCTGGATAAGAAAGACGCCCCCTCCCCCGTTGATAAACATGCCATTTGGTGACACTTGTTCCTAGCTGGGAGGCTGCTCAGTAGGGAGGAGACGCCAGGGCTGGTGACCAGACCCAGGCATTCACCTTCCCAAGTAGCAACACACGGAGCCCATGGCAGACACTGGAGCTCTCCCAGTCCTCCCAGCTTGCTCGTATACCCCACCGCACACACTCATGCACACCTACACTGCTATTTTGTGGGATACTCCGAGCCCTGCACACTCACTAACTCCCCCCCCACAATCATACCCATTCCCACAGCCCTATCAAATCACACTTACACCCCCCATCACAATCACACCCATTCCCACAGCCCTATCAAATCACACTCGCACCCTGGCACAATCACACCCATTCCCACAGTCCTGTCAAATCACACTCACACCCCAGCACAATCACACCCATTCCCACAGCCCTGTCAAATCACACTCGCACCCCAGCACAATCACACCCATACCCCTGTTCACTTACACTCATACCCCCATCAGTACACAACACACATTCCTACACAATTATTCTCATACACACAACTCTGCACAATGCCACACACTCACATACCCCTACACAATGACATACACACCATAGACACCATCACTCTGATGCACTCCTCCTCTTTGGAGCTCAGACACTGACCCCTCAAACACACGCCCTACACAATGACACAAAGCCCAAGTGGGCGCACACACAGAGCAAACAGCATCACTCTGCTCTCCCTAGCCCATCACTCCCCTGCACACACACCCTGACACAGTGACATACACCCTCCACAGTCACACACTCATACCACTCCACAATCACTCCACGTGTGTGCACACACGGCCACGCACACACACACAGTGCAGCGAGCACACTAGGGCTGTGGCATCAGTGGGATCGGGCCGGCTGGGCTGTGACTCATGTGACACTCATTGGTTCTGACAGAGATGGGAGCTGCACAGAGCAGAGCGCTGGAGACACCGCGACACACACAATCAGGTCATACTTCACTGCACACTCACCCCTATCCACACGTGCCTCACTTCCCCCGAGTGCTGAGCACCCCATCTGCCTATGGAGAGAGACACAGGGCTGAACCGATTCTGCCCAAGCACTCACACCTATCCTGATACCCCCAACACCCCATCATCTACTGACACCCCCCAAAGGCAACAGATTCTAGTACGCCCAACACACACAAAACCATCTACTGACAGCCCCCATACACAAACATACATACGCTCCATTTACTAACACCCCCAAAGACATATCCCGACACCCCCAGCACACACAGACGTACTGACACTCCCCAGTACACACACATCACATCTGATGCCCCCCTAATAGAATGACACCAACACCCCCCGCCTCGTGACAACTGCACCGCACACTGGTATTTATGGAACCGTATCCTGCTCCTTCCCCTGCCCCCAGCCTCATCCCTCTCCCGTTCCAGCCCCGGTGGGGCCACAAAGACATCGGCCGAGCGAGGGGAGTTCAGAGAGGGGCGGGCAGGGGGGGCAGGGGAGGAGCATGAGTTATGGGAAGAGAGGAAAAGGGTTAAATCCATCCGGCTGGGCAATGGCAGAGGGGGAGAAGCATCTTCAGAGCCCTGATGCGAGTCCCCCGGGGGAAGGGTGGGCAGCCCTGTTGCTCCATGACAGGGGAACAGATCTGGCTGCAGGGTACAGACCCCCCAAGGAGGTGCCATTGGGAGTCCTGGGCTGCTGGGTACAGGGCTGCTGGGGAAGTCTGTAGGGGTGACCTCGTGCTGGGCCCTGGGTGCGGGAGGAGATGGGACCTGTGGGGGCTTCCCCGGGCCTGAGATCTGGCATCCAAACTCTGGCAACAGGGCACAATATTGCCCCAGAGCCCAGCCCCCCCATCCCTCGCGCTGAGCCGCCTCGTTTCCTCTTCGTTGCCCTGGAAACCACTGCCATCCACCATGACGGTAAAGACGGTCACCATGGCAACCACTATTTCTTTCACTTACTGTTTTCTTCTTTCTCTCCTTCTCCCCTGGGGCAGCCCCCCCTCCCCCCATCCCACACACCTGGCGCCTGGAGAGACATGGGGTGGGGATGTGGGGGGAGGACAGCGGGGGTTGGTTCTGTCAGGGCCCAGATTGTCTCTGACTTTTCCTGATGGAAAGGGGGCAGTGAGGCCAGCAGCCAGCCAGGTGGGGGGGCAAAGTGGGGCTCCATCCAGCCAACCAGCCATCCATCCCCAGCATCCGTCTGTCTATCCATCCGTCCTCAGTATCCATCTGTCCATCCATCCATCCCCAGTATCCACCTGTCCATCCATCCATCCCCAGTATCCATCTGCCACAGAATCTATGCATCAATCCATACATCTGTCCACAGTATCGATCCTTTCATTGTAACCAGCCAGCGATCACCTATCACAATATGTAATCTATCCATCACGTCTGGCCACCAATATCCAATGCCCCAATTCCTCCATCCCCAGAAACTACCTCTCCCTTCCTCCATCCCCACATCGTTCTCCAGGATCCATCCAACTCCTTCATCTCTCTAACGTCTCCCTCCATCCCCATGTCTCTGGGGCTTCTATAGCACTCTCACCTCGGTCCCGGCCCACCCATGATACACCCCCCCTGATTTTGGTAAAGATTTGGGACAGAGACGCCGGGCTTTACCGCTAACAGCCCAGCTGGGTTTATTTTGTCCCTCTCAAGAGGCATTTCCTGAGCTAAGAACGTCTGTCCTTGGCATGACCACTAGAGGGTGCTGAAAACTGGATGCCCCTATCGCTACACTGCCCAACAGAGCATCATCTCCTCTGGAATAACCAGATTCACTGAGAACAAACACTGGAGCCAGACTGAGATCCCAGCACCACTTTCACAGGGGGCCCCTCAGTGTACAAGAGACCCAAGTCACAAACCTGGAGCCGAACACGCCCGCAGTGGTGGTGCCCGAAACCCAGGCCTGCACCCACAGCCAATCCCTACAAAGCCCTTTGCCCTGCCGCACCCACCCTCTCCTTTTGCTACGGGGAGCTCAAGAGTGCTCGAGACTGGGACAGGGCAGCCGGATGTAGACTAGAAATGTCTGGATCCAGGAGAAGGACCGGAATTTTATACACAATTAGCTAAACAGAGACACTCCCATCCCCAGATAACCCCACTGTCTGCCTGCTCGGTTCAGGATCTCCCCCCATCTACTCCTTCCAGGCTGTGATCCAGCCAGGCCCCGGGCCCTTACCCCTCGCTGAATATCCAGGCATCTTCTGTCCTTCTAGCAACAGCCTCCTCCCTCCTCTCCAGCCACACCCTCTGCCCACTGCAGGCATGAGAGTCTCCTCCTCTGCAGCCCCCACCTCCCCCGCATCTCTTCACTGACAGAGCTGTATCTGTCTCACCAGACATCACGTTATCTACCCAAGTGTTGGGCTCAGGGATCCAATCTAACCCCTTTCTAGAGTCTGGGACTGTTCCCACCAGCCCCATCTCACTACTACACGATCTGTTCATTTCAAGTGGCCACAACCCCATCTCCTGCCGCAGGCCGGTCATGCCCCAGCTGTGCACAGGCCGCGGGGGAAGAAGGGCGTGTGTAGCGTGCGCACGCAAGTGCATTTCCTGGCCCCATTTTCTCTCCATAGAAACCTCACAGGCCACCCCCTTTCTCAGGGCTGCTTTTCTATTCTCCGGGTTTCACTGGGAAGGGGAAATTCCTGTTGTGTTTCTTTAAAGGGAAACGTTTCCCAGCTGGCCCGTCTTCCTGAAACAATGAATCACTGGCTCGGCTCTTGGCCCGGTCTCCTGGGTTCTTTTTTCCCGCTGTTGTTCCAGGCGGATTTTTTTGCACTCAGTATTCCGGGCTGCCCCTGCAACTTGTGAGTGTAGTGCACAGGGGGATCCTTTCTCTGCCGGTCTCTCCCATTCGCTCCATCTCAGGGAAGGTTTCCTCCCCATTCATCCGCGCCTTTCACTTCTCCTTCCCTCCCCCCGCCACTTTCATTCTGACTGGTTTTCTCTCTTCTCTCCCTCTTTTTGTTTTGTTTATTCCTTTCTCTCCCTTTTGTCCCGCCGGCGTAACACAGCCCTTCAGGGGTAATAAACTGCCCAGCCTGGCTTCCTGCCCGTTTCCCAGGCAAGCTGGGTGGCACGAAGAAAAGAGCATGGTACAGAGATGGCTGGAAGTGCTGTTAGAGGAGGGGGACTGTGGGTTAGAACTTGTGGGTTCTATTCCCAGCTTTGGGAGGGGAGTGGGGTCTAGTAGTCAGAGTGGGGACACGGGGAGTCAGGTCCTCTAGGTTCTCTGCCTGGATCTGGGAGAGGAGTGGTTCCTATCTTCCCCAGGGGTAATCTGCCCCAATGCCAGTCTCTCCTCATGCTAGTGCAGTACGTATTCACTAGTGCAAAGAACGCCCGGAAAGACTCGGCTCAGTTCTCTGAACCCAAGTCAGCCCAGCGCAGTCCATGTTGTTCCAGCTCCCATCTGCCTTTCCCAAGTCAGTCTGGCCAGGCCTTGACCCTTCCAGTCTCGTGCCCCAAACCCTGAATGGCTAGTACACTCTGAGCCAAACTCCATTGACTTCCATGGGCATTTGGACCCAAAACAACTGCTCCAGGGCGACATGGCTGTACGTGTCCCACCTGCATCCCAGTTCATGGCGCTTCTCTTTCACTTTGCAAGTTCTACAGAAAATCCTCTAGGGTTAATCTCTACAAGCTCTCAAATAGAGGGATAAAGATCACCTCCCCCCCTCAGCTCCCAAGCCAGTACAGGTTACTGTGGTCTTATACAAATGTTACAGCAAACAGACAATAGCCTTGAACCAATAGGAAAGGGATCACCAGCCAATCTCAAAACAAGATGCTCCACAGCACCCGCTACTGCCCATTAGAGTCATATGCTCTGCACCTTCTCTGTGACAGCAAACCCACCAGACAGGTGCATTGGACCAGCTTTGGCTAAGTCAGGGTACCTGGATTCTGTTCTCAGTTCGGCCACGGACTCGCTCGGTGACCTTGGGTGAGTCTCCGTGTCTCAGTTTCCCCATGGTAAAACAGGGATAATAAACTTGATCTTCCTTGTAAAGCTCTTTGAGATCCGTGGAGGAAAAATGCTATAGAACTAGTATCCCTGCCTAAGATGGTGGATGAGAAATGGATCCCAGAAATGACTCCATGGCAGCTTAACCGAAGGCGACCAATAATGTCTGACTGGCCATTATAGGAGGGCCCCTTCGCAGCACTCTGGTAGGGTAAAGGGGCCTGCCCCAATAGCCTCTGGCTGCAACAACTGTGGTACGGGGGATAACAGGTGACATTTTGTCAGTGATGGGGGGGGGCACTTTGGGTCATTTATTGCATGTCAGTTGTATGTTATCACATGTGGAGATCTGTTACAGCATGTTCTGGGGTTACACGTGTCAAGTCAATTATTGTACATAAGTTACAACATGTGCTTTCAGTTACTGCAGTCCAAATGATATTACCCATGGTAACTTATCGCCTGTCTGTTATGGCAGGATAATGTGGTCATTTATGGAATGACAGTTCCATGGTATCACAAGTGAGATCAACTATGGCATGTGCTGTCAGAAGTCCCATGTCATTTATGGCATGTGCTTTTGGTCATCCCAGGCCCGTTACCACGTGTCATGTTAGTTATCATTGTTATGGCATGTGGGGTAATTTATGGCACGCCAGTTGTGTACGGTGACATGTGAGATCAGCTATGTCATGTATCCCACACATCAATCAGGACAGCTAGTGTGGGTCTGCTATGTCATGTGTGATCATGTAGGACATGCCAGTTGCATATGATTGCATGCTATTTATGGGATGTGCCGTCATCACGTGCCGTTACAGCATGTGGCATCATTGCATGTAGTTGCGGCATGTGCTGTCCATTATCCCATGTCAGTTACCATGTGTCAGGTGGGTTATCATGGGGCCCTCATGGCAGACGAGCTCAGTAATTGTGTGTTAGTTAAATGCCGGCGCGTTCCCTGAGGCTAGCTATAAATCAGGCCCTTCTAACCGTCGCTTAATGCATCTCCAAAGCGATCCTCATCTATTGCTATTTAACTGGATCCCAATAACAGTCTGGCTCAGAGACGACAGCTCCCAGGGGGCCATGGAGGGAAAACAAGCCCACACTCCCAGCCTCTGCCTACTCACGGGCTCCCCAAGGCCTGTCCGAGCAGCGGCCCCTGCACACCCCATGACTCAGGGCACTTGGGACAGCGTTGGCTTCTCCAGCCTCCAGAAGGGCCTGGAGCAGACAGACAAGATGCAGCCCTGCCCTGTCCCCCTCAGGAAACGTAGAGATCAGGGTCTCCCCATCTCCAAAACTGCAGGGAGGCCAGGGGCCAAGTCCCCTTCTCCTCTCTGCCTCGGGAAGCTCCAGCTCCCCTTTGGGGGCTCAGGAACAGGAGGCCCCCAGAGCCAACCCCAGAGGAGGGGAGCTGGGGGGAGGGCACACTCACTCCACTACAGGGGCGGGTGAAACCTCCAGTAGCAGGAGCCCATCTCACCCTGTGCAACCCGCTGCTGTTTCACATGGAGACAGGATTTTCCTTCAATTCCTGTCCCAAAGTGCCACCCAGCTGCCCCATTCCACCCCAGAGGTGGCTGCATTTCAGCAAGGAGCGGAAAGTGACACATCAGGGCAATAACACATAGCAATGGGGGCGGGAGGAGGAGTTTAACTGAGGGAAGGGGTGGGTTATGAAAGGAGAGGCCCCCAGGGCCCAAGCAGCAGCAGGGAGGAGCATGGGGTGAGGAAAGCTGATGGTTTCACTTTGCTCCAGACAATCGAGCCTTTCAAGCTCCTGGTAATTGAAGCCATGAGGCATCAGCCTGACACTCGGGAAGAGGAGAGAGTGGTGGAGCTGGAAGGAAGGGGGCTGGCTGGGGGATCCCAGGGAGCAGTCTGCAGGAGGCTCTGGAACGGCATTCCAGGGATTGTCTCCCACACCCCAACCACCACCCCGATACTCACTGCAATTCCAGGGGAGTTCCAGGGACTGACCAAATTCAATCAGCGGCTGGGCTCTCGATGATTAAGCCGTCACTCCCAGGGGGAGATCAGCACACAGTGGTGATGGTGACATGTGTGGGGCATAGGAACAAACAGTGGGGACATACAGTGACACCACTGACAGACAATCCAACCTCAGCATCACACTGCCCTAGAACACCCGTGGGGCAATCCAACCTTATTGTCACACTGCTCTAGAACACCAGTGGGCCAATCCAACTTCAGCATCACATTGCTCTAGAACTCTTGTTGGCCAGTCCGATCTCATTATCAAACAGTTGGGAATTTTCATCATCCAGGTCTTTGTCTACTAATTTAAAGAGCTCATTAGGCAAAAGAGCTAATGTGACCCTGGGAGGCATAAACAGGGGAATCTCGAGGAGAAGCAGAGAGATTATTTTACCTCTATATTTTGCACTGGGGCGACTGCTGCTGGAATCCAGTGGCCAGTTCTGGTGTCCACAGTTCAAGAAGAATATTGATAAATTGGAGAGGGATCAGAGAAGAGCAACAAGAATGATTAAAGGATTAAAAAAAAAAAACCCCTACAGTGACAGACTGAAAGAGCTCAATCTCTTTAGTTTAACAAAGCAAAGATTAAAAGGTGACCTGAGACATCTTGAAATATCTACCCTGGGAACAAGTATGTAATAACGGGCTCTTCAGTCTAGCAGAGAAAGGTCGAACCCGATCCAATGGCTGGAAGTTGAAGCTAAACACATTCAGACCGGAAATAAAGGGGTAAATTTGTACCGGTGCGAGCAATTAACCGGTGGAACAATTTACCAAGGGCTGTGGTGGATTCTCCATCACTGACCATTTTTAAATAAAGAGAGGATTTTTTTCTAACAGATCTGCTCTAGGAATTAGTTTTGGGAAGTTCTCTGGCCCACGTTATCCAGGAGGTCAGACTAGATGGTCCCTTCTGGCCCTGGAATCTAGGCATCTTATCACAGATTTGTCCCCCCAAAAGGTACACGTGGGGGTTTGAACCCAAGCAGGAGCCACCTATGCCACTAGGAATCTCACTTCTCTGCTCTGTTGCTCAGTTTCTCCATCTATAAAGGACACCCCCCACCCCCAGTGCAGGGGCTGGGAGACTTAATACATATTTATACATACATTATATTGCAAATTGTTGTGTTACAGTGCTCTCACACCTTCTAAGGCCCCTGAAGCATTAATAAATTAAGATTCATTCTCCCCCAGGGAAGACAGGTCAGTAAAGAGGTCAGCAAATAAACAGCATCAATAAATAC